CTATCGATATGAATTCTAAGGATGAAATTCTACCAGCCACCCGTAAATTTATATTACATTTGTGTGAAGAAGGTTGTTGATTTTTTTTTTTTTTTTCATTTATTTCATTGTTTTTGTAGCAATTCTCGGTTTCTTTTTTCTTTCTTTTTCTTTTCTTTCCTCGGAAAGTCACGCTAGCCAAATCAGTGGTAAAATCAAACAACTCGATCGTTCAATCCGGTCGTTCGCGTGTAGTTTTCAAATTAATGCAGGTCGAGTGGATTTCTTACCATCATCCCATGTTTTGTTATAAGTACATTTACGCACGGTGGACGGCGAGTGCTTAATAATTATTTATTTTGTTCTTTTTGATAATGGTGATACTTTACAGATTTACCAATACATAAAAATCCTAAATTTCAAAAAAAAAAAAAGTCTGCAGACTAATGCATTTTAAAGATTTTTTAAACTTTGTAAATATTTCAGTGTTTCCTTGTCGGGTTGAACTTCTTCAACATCAATTACACCTAATTCGATTCTAATTGGTAGAGCGTTTCTACCCAAAGTTTGCTGTGATATTGGTCGACAATAAAGAATTATCTCTTCGCCAATAGAAGAGCATGTAGAAACCTGATTCAATAAGTTATTTTTATCATAACAATGATATATTTTTTTCTGAGTGGCCGCCCTAAATATTTTTTGATATTGATCGTCGTTCAACCTCAAGAGTTCTCGCAACAATTGTTCATCCTTGACAACGGCAGTGGCTTTGGACGTGCCATCTTTAACCTCAAATTTCCCCTCCACGCGAAATTTTGGCGGAAAGAGGATGCATCCGCTGGGACAAGAGTTGTCGCAGTAAACCTGCTCGCATATCTCGCACACCAATTGTATAGATAAGTGAATGATGCGAGTGATCGTGCAGTGAATTCGGTAAATTGTTCTCGTTGATTTACCGCACAAATCTATCAGTTTCGTGTTTTCGAGCTCTTGGAGTATTGCACACTTATCTTTCGGAAATCCTGCCAAGGATATGTGTGTCATGGGTAATGAACTACAGTACACGTTTCCGATCTCTGAAGTTTTCACCACTACCTGTCTCAAAACAAGAGGCTGACCAGGAATCAATCCCAGCGGGATAACGTACTTTGTCGTTGAAGTCACGTACACGTCGATAACGTCCTTCGTACGCAAATCACGGATCCTCAGTAACAGGTTGGTGTCGCGCTGACCCGAAATTTCCCCGCGAAGGGTTTGCCCTATGAATTTTGGCAACGTCGCTGCGACCCGAAATTCTTTCGACACCAAATATCCTTGAAACGAAACAATCGAACCGCATCGTTTGAAACAATTTTGATCCATTGTAAATTCGCCGTACAATACATCACTGACATTGAGAACCTCTTCCACATTGAGATCTTTTTGGATCCCATCTAACTGCAGAATCGTTGGTCCAAATTCACGACCAAGCAAATCTCTATAACGTGTATGGATCGGATCCTTGGAGGAACCAACTTGTATGCACCTAATTTCGGCCGTGTCGATATTCTTCAGCCAAAAGCCGGTATCCTCGGATTGCACAAGTTCGGACGAGCACGCGAGTTCGTACGTTGAACCAACATAGATGACCGGCAAAAACCTCAGGAAGTCGCCTGAAAGATGAAAATAAGCAGCTTCGCTTCTGGGATTTAATTCTGCCACGTGCGATTTCAATTGAACTTGTAAAGTGCAAGCTCGAGTGTCCCTGTTCATAGGAGAGGCAATCTCACCTGGAAGAATGTTAAGAAGCATTTTGCATTCTACTCTGGGTGAATTTCCTTCGGATATATAGTTCAATTTGGTGGGATGTACATGCGAAACTTGAAAGATGCACCGACTCAAACTAGAAGGAAAAGTCGTTGGTTTTGCGTAGAAACAGAAACACTTTTCAATTGCGAATCTGATGTAAAATTTTCCGGGTTTTTCAATCACGATATCATACTCGGGGATGACCCACACGTTTCTTAGGTGGTAGGTTTGTATCTGTTGAGTTGATGATATGTTGATTGCTAAGATTTGACCCGTGCGATCCTTAAGCTGAAGCTCGCCACTCACATGTCCTTGCAAGACACCCATCAAATGAACTGAACCCAATCCACATTCTGACTGCGAGACGACCTTGAATGTATAATAGTTATCAATTCCAAAAATTTTTTGTGGTAATTCGATACTTTCAGCGATCTTCAAAAAGTTCGCCAAGGAAATAAATTTTATTTGTCAACTCCGCCAGAATCACATTCAGACGCAGTCGAATGTATCGTGGAACACTCGAAAAACGTTGAATACAATCACGCCCCGTTCTTCACGTATCAGGGCGCGATCACCTGCATAATAGATAATGTACTGGGGGTCTTTGCGTTGGACTCGCGGTACATCTTACATCTAGGTCAGTATCCTTCGTACAATTATTTATGTTTACCATACCGAATAGGAATGACATTACTTCTATCCAACATTCACGCGGTTCCAATAAGGTTGGATCGCGATATATGGAAGCTATCGATGAGGAAAAACTGCCCGAAATTCGACGAAATAAAAATGATTTTTGTCGGGTGCCTCTGTAGCACCATTCAAATCTACAAATTTCCCAGCATTAATTTCTGTGCGGAAATGATCACACCACGAGTAATAAGCAAATTTTCGTTATTTCTGAATAACAGATTATTTAACCTAGTAGACTTGCTGTGGATACAGCAAACCTACTATGAAATTTCAGAAAAATTTCCCAGGAAATTATTAGACGAGATAATTTTATTAGGTAATCCACTCGAGGATGCAAACCCCGAGGAAGATTCATTGTTATCAAAATTATTTCAAAAATATCGTA